TGTGCTGTGCCCATAGAGCTCCTATAAATATAAAGAGCTCAGAGCTAAATTGTAAAACTTAACAAGGCCCACAAAAAAACAAGGCCTTACAAGGCCCATATAAAATTCAAAATAAATTCAATAAAATAATATAAAAAAAAAATAAAATTCAAATAAATATGTGCATCATCTATCAAAATATCACTACTAGTGCAAAAATCCCCAACTATGTGCTACAAAAATCCCCAATGGCCATAAAATACTTAAATCTCTTGAATTTAAATGATCCAAAAAAAAATCAGAAAACAAATATTAAAAGTCTCACTGGCAGTATTGGTAGTATTATCTTCTCCCGACCTGCCATATTTGACTGATAACCCACACGTAGGCAAAGCTATATGTATATGTACTAGAGGCCCGCAGCATGTTTTCACATGCCTGCAACCTGCTGAACCCCTCCTTGCATGTGTGTAAATGCCATACGCCTCTCAGATCTCTTAAATTCTCTGCTTTTTGCTCATACTCAGGGGTGTCACTGGACCTATAGACCTGGCAGAAACCCATGGGACATCTGCACATGCATGAATACGTGCAGATCTCACCTTGAAAAGGTTCTCCTTACCTATATGAGGAGACAGTTAGTGAGTTGAGAAAAAATGTTTACAAATGTGTTGTTAATAAAAAAAAATATATATATATATATATACTTTTCCAATTCTATAAGAGTTAGAGAAGGAGAAAGAGAAAATGATGTCAGATTCCTGGGTCTGCATTAAGTACGTTTGGTCAAAACACAGTAGAAACCACCCACACCACTCTACCTGAGGACTGCACCAGCATGTCCTATAAGCATAGCATCTCAGAAGGAATTAAGACAAAAGCGGCTCCAGTAGTGTGTAAAACCACATATACAATTATTAAAAGTAAGGACAACATAAAATCACTCACAAAACAGAATACCAGTTTTGATTATCCTCCTGCGGTCAGCAGGCACAGTAAGCTCATTCCTACAAGTGTGATGATGCCATCAAACTCCTACTCAGCACATTTGCAATAAAAACGAAAGTATCTCATCTTAGTCCTGAGGAAGTTGTTAATGCGAAAACCCGTTGAGTATGGATTTATTGACAGTGGGTTTGTGGTAGTCATATGCCTGTTTGGCACTCACAGTAAGGAAAGGCATTGTTGCTGTTGAGGTGTGCCCTCAGTATTGGCACAGGTTTTGTTTTGACTGTTGTCACGTTGGAAATTATTTGCACTAGTTAGTAGAGCTGTGCTCTTGCTCTGTCTAGGCTGAAGCTGCGCACCAGGCAAAGAGCTAAATGCAAAGCTGAAAACATATACAGGAGCTGTCTTAAATTGCCTTTTAAACTGATATTTCTGTTACCCACAGCCTGTGAAGGAGCAGCAACATTCTGATGCGCTTATCTCTATGCTTTCTCTTGCTATCAGTATATTTCTTTCCAGTACATTGTAATGCAGAACACCTAATTGGTCCCATGCATTGCCCTTTCCTCACTGAGCCTAAGCCCAAGTTCACACTAGAACCCATGATCCATGCGCGTTTCCTGCACCACATTCAAAACGCACTGCCAATGGTAACGACACCCCATACGCAGTTCGCAAATACTGTGCGTTTGCCTGCCCCGGATCACATGGTTCAAAACTACCATGTGATCCAATTGGAGTGTGTTTCCAAAGTGCGTTCACTATTTTGGTGTGATGCAGTGCGATTTTAGCCTATTCAAAATGAATGGGCTCAAATCACACTGCAATGAATCACGTGAATTGCATGAGAATGCTGCGCGCATTCCTTTGTGATTCATAGTGTGAAACTAGGCTACAAGCTGCTATAAAGGAGTATAGAAAGGGACCAAATTAGGTAAAAATGTTTTAATTACATTTAAAGTTATTTCTGAAAGATAAATAATAGTTAAGCTTTAAAGTGGAAGAACCGCCTAAGTCTAGATACTCTTAAAAATGTCCCTCGCCCCTTCTCCTACCTATCCTTCCAACCTGTATAAAAAGATGTGTATACTTATCTATTTTTAATCATGTTATCCTGCAGCTCTGGCTCCCCTGTGTCAGTGAGTGTCTGCTGCAGGGGACAGGAGAGTGCGAGGACAACAGGGTGATATCACAGCTCTTGGAATTCCTAGCCGTTGTCAAGCTCTCTCTGAGCCACAGTTGCAGGATCATGCGACTAGAGTGGTTTAAAAATAGGTAAGCACGCACATTTTTTTTTCCACACAGGGGAAGGTACATTTTTAGATAAAGTAAGACTTAGGATTTTCTTCAACTTTAACTTGTCCTCTTGTCCTGCTTGGGCAAGGATATATTTTAATTGGTTATAATGGCTTTTTGCCTATGCTTTTCAGCAGTAAAGTTTATTAATGTGGTGGTGGTGGGATACTAGAAAAATATTATTTACATGGATTAAAGTGAGTTTTCAGGAGAGAAGAATTTTGGGGCCTCACTTCTGAAGGTGTGACAATGCGGTCTTTGCCAGTGGCCCAGTAGCCTCCCTAACACTAAATTCAGTAGGCATGAGCGAGTGTTTTCACTGACTTTGAAAATAGTGATACTTCCTTTTTTTTCTCCTTCTTTCTTTTCCAAAGTTCACAAATACTTTTGTTTTGCTTGGACTTGCAGTTTGGACCCAAGTATCATGAATTAGCAGTTATTTTTAGCAACGAGGAGAAAGCAGATCTTCGCACTTACACAAAGTCGAGACGAGGTGCGAGTCTCCACAACAAACTCATGTGTCATGAATCCAGGCCTCTCCAGGAAATATTACACCAATCTCAGTGCAGCCCATACCTCACTCACTGTCAGCATCACGCAGAGAATAATCTACACCCCATCGCCAGTAATAAGGTTGTAAATTCTACTGGGGATATCTGATGATATCATAAGCCACAGCAGTGAATGCTCTACAGTTTAATAATGTCACCGGAACTCTTAGATGGAATTACAGTATGGTTCTTTTATGAAGCATTTGGGTGTTTTTTTATTTACTGTGATACATGGTAACCAAAAATATTACACACCAATTTGTGCTTCTTGGGATCTTTTGGCAATGAGAAATGACGTGACTTGAACGAGACACCGTGAAAGAAATTATAGTGTTAGAATTGGATCATAACTTATAGTTAAGGATTCTTAATAATTGAAACACACTATTTTTGTTATGTTGGACTAATTCTACTTGGGTGTAATATTGTTTTAATAGATATAGCAGAGATAGCACCCGCTGTCATGTCCATGGCCCCAGGGGAGTGAAACTCACTTTTGTTCACAAGAAATTGAAACTGTCTTATGTGTCATTACATCACGGAGCTCACAGCCTTGCCCCTGTATGTATGCTTTTACCTCTGATTAGTAAGAACAGTTCATGGATCCACACACACAATTGGAGCCTTACAGCGTAAGACAAATCTGACATTCCTGCAGTTATAGGAAAAGAACTCAAGGGAATAATAGTACACACCTGTCTCTAGGTGCCCGTTCACATACAGTTGTGTTCAAAATAATAGCAGTGTGTTGAAAAAAGTGAATAAAGCTCAAAATCCTTCTAATAGCTTTTATTTCCATACACACAAATGCATTGGGGACACTACACATTCTATTCCAAATCAAAACATGAAGAAAAATATATCAAATTTGTGTTGTTCCTCTAAAACAAATTGAAGAAAAGTGAATATTAGACTGTTCAAAAAAATATCAGTGTTTGTATTCTTCTTTACAAACTCAAACATTCACTATATAAACTGAAAAATGTTTGAAGATTTTGCTTTCCTTTGAATCGCTTAATTAATATTTGGTTGTATAAGCACTGTTTCTGAGAACTGCTGTACATCTGTGTTGCATGGAGTCAACCAACTTCTGGCACCTGTGAACAGGTAATCCAGCCCAGGATGATTGGACTGCATTCCACAGTTCTTCTCTATTTCTTGGTTTTGCCTCAGAAACTGCATTTTTGATGTCACTCCACAAGTTTTCTATTGGATTAAGATCCGGGGAATGGGCTGGCCACTCCATAACGTCAATCTTGTTGGTCTGGAACCAAGATGTTGCACGTTTACTGGTGTGTTTGGGGTCGTTGTCTTGTTGGAACACCCATTTCAAGGGCATTTCCTCTTCAGCATAAGGCAGCATGACCTCTTCAAGTATTCTGATGTATTTAAACTGATCCATGTTCCCTGGTATGCGATAAATAGGCCCAACACCGTAGTATGAGAAACATCCCCATATCATGATGCTTGCACAACCATGCTTTACTGTCTTCACAGTGTACTGTGGCTTGAATTCAGTGTTTGGGGGTCGTCTGACAAGCTGTCTCCGGCCACTAGACCCAAAAAGAACAATCTTACTTTCAACAGTCCACAAAATGTTGCGCCATTTCTCTTTAGGCCAGTCAATGTGCTCTTTGGCAAATTGTAACCTCTTCAGCACATGTGTTTTTTTCAACAGTGGGACTTTGTGGGGCTTCTTGCAGATAGCTTGGCTTTACATAGGTGTCTTCTAATTGTAACAGTACTCACTTTAGACTAACTTTAGACCTTCTTTGACCTTCCTGGAGCTGATTGTTGGCTGAGTCCTTGCCATTTTGTCTATTCTTCTATCCATTCGAATGGTAGTTTTTTCGCTTTCTTCCACGTCTTTCAGGTTTTGGTTGCCATTTTAAAGCATTTGCGATCATTTTAGCTGAGCAGCCTATCATTTTCTGCACTTTTTTTATATGTTTTCTCCTCTCCAATCAACTTTTTAATCAAGGTACGCTGTTCTTCTGAACAATGTCTGGAACGACCCATTTTCCTCAGAATTTCAGAGAGAAATGCACTGTAACCAGCATGTACAACATTTGCTGCCTTCCTTAACCACCTCCCGCCCGCCATATAGTCCAATGACGGGCGCAAGGTGGTTCTCTCGTTCTGAGAGGACGTCATATGACGTCCTCCCATTCTCACTGCGTATGCACGGCTCAGGGAACGCGCAGCACGGCGCTCGGCGGTGTGCTGTGTCCCTCGGACACAGCAGATCACCGATCATGGCAAGAACCGAAGAAGTCGGCTCGGTCATGTGATCAGCTGTGTCCAATCACAGCTGATCACATGTAAACACGGAAATGCTGGCATTTCTCTCCTCTTGAGCTGTCACGCTGATAGCTGGAGAGGAGAGCCGGTAATCGGCTTTCCGTGGAGGGGACATGTACACATGCTCCAGCAGTGCCACCTGTCAAAGTCCATCCGTGCCAGCTGTCAGTGCCTCATGCACGTGCCACATCAGTGCCACATGCCACACATCAGTGCCCATCTGAGCTGCCTTTCAGTGTCATCCATCAGTGCCAGTCAGTGCCATCTATCAATGCCAATCAGTGCCACCTATCAGTGCTGCCTATCAGTGCCAGTCAGTGCCGCCTATTAGTGTGCATCAGTGCCGCCTAACAGTGCCAGTCAGTGCCGCCTAACAGTGCCCATCAGTGATGCCTGTCAATGCCCATCAATGCCACCTACCAGTGCCTCCTCATCAGTGCCACCTATCAGTGCCCATCACTGCAGCCTCATTAGCGCACATCAGTGAAGGAGAAAAATCATTTATTTACAAAATTTTATAACAAAAACTAAGAAAAAACTTTTTTTTTTACAAAATTTTCAGTGGTTTTTGGTTTGTTTAAGAAAAAATGAAAAACCCAGATGTGATTAAATACCACCAAAAGAAAGCTCTATCTGTCACAAAAAAATGATAAAAATTTCATATGGGTACAGTGTTGCATGACCGCGCAATTGTCATTCAAAGTGTGACGCGCTGAAAGCTGGAAATTGGCATGGGCAGGAAGTGGATATAAGTGCCCTGTAGGCTAGTGGTTAAATAAGGGCAATAATTGCCACCTGTTTTTCAAAGAATGAATGACCTCACTAATAGAACTCCACACTGCTATTATTTTGAACATGCCCCTTTCAATTAGTGATTCAATTGCACAGAATCAGCAGCATGCATGTTATGACTGTTGGGTCTGTTGGATTTCTATTACTCTACTACACCTGCGAGTAAATTATTTGCCATGTACAAATATAATTTCTACCAAAAACAGTGATTGATCAGGTTAGTGATGTCTGACTGCTATTATTTTGAAAACAACTGTATATGTTAAAAAACATTGCTTCCTATGGTGACTATTCACATATGTCCGATGTATGGCCAGTGCAGATTCAGTTCGATTTTAAAAAGAGTCATGTCCAGTTTCTGAGCAGTGCGGTCCGGTTCAGGTGTGGATCACATGCTATTGACTTCTATGGGAACCGTTTCTAATATGCATATTTGTGAACAAGATAAGATCCTGAGCAGGGGCGGACTGACAACTCATGGGGCCCCCCAGCAATAGGGGATCATGGGGCCCCTGTGTCCTCACCCACACTCAAACCACACCCAAAAAAGCCTATGAAAGGTACCATGGGCATTTCATGGGGCCCCCTACTGACCCCGGGCCCTCAGGCAGTGCCCGAGTGCCGAATGGTCAGTCCTCCCCTGATCCTGAGCTAATCGTGTCCTGAACCTGACATAAACCTGATGTGAACAACTACTGCATCAAATAGCTGTGAAACCTGAGCTTCAATCCGCACTGCACATGTGTGAATCAGCTCTAAGAGGTATGGCTCCACTAATAAAACAATTTATTAATGGAGATTCAGTTTTTTCCTTATCACACTGCTCTCCCTGCATTGTGTGACGTTGTAATGCTGCAGACAGGCGAGGTACCGGGTTCTGAAGAGACTGTAATTTGTAGTATTTGCTCAGTGATATATGTGATCCTAAATGGTTCTTGGACTTGACATACAGCTATTGTAAAAACTTCTCATCACTTATAGGCTTGTTTAATAACTGTGTGCTTAGGGCTGCACAGTGGCATAGTGAGTAAAGTGGAACTTTTCATTTTCCAGCCATGTAGATGTAATTGTGCTTTCATAATCCATTAAATTAGCTGTTTTTAGACACACGCCTCCTTTTGCTCAAAATGTGAAACCTAAATGCAACTACTAATGAGTCAAAATTTTGACTCTAAAAAGTCAGAAGGTAAGCTCTATTCTTTATAGCTAACCACTCCCCCTGGCCACGCAGCACATGACTACCGCAGAAAGGGCTCAGATGTGTTTGACAGTCTGGCTTCACCTTCCCTTTATTGTGTAAAAGGTTAGATGGTAGTGCCCAATGGGGCAATTACTTAACTGTGCACCAGTGAGTGGTTTTATGAAACCAAAAAGTTCTTATATGGGGATTGGTTCTGTAAAAACTGGCAAAGGAGAGGGTTGCTTTAACACTGTTGATGATCAGCTTTTTAGTGATTGTAAGCTCCTCTGGGGCAGGGATTGATAGAAATTATTTATGCAAGCTGGATTTTGTTTTTGTGCTTTGCAATTAGGTTACATACCTGTTAATAATGCTTCAGAGCAATAAATCTGACAATAATGAGCAATACATCTGACAAAAAAAATTTAAAACGTATGGGGTTGAAAAAAAAAAACCTTTATACTCACCTAGGTGGATTCAGCATCGCTCCCCCACCTCCTCCAAGTTTGATAACTGAGCGATCAAAGACCACTAATCGCTCAGTTCTCAGTCTTCATTCAGCAGAATGGAACACCGGGCTGCGCAGGGAGAAAGAGCGGCTGGCTCAGTCTCCCACTGGCATGCTGAGCCAGGTGCTGGTCCAGGCATCTGAGTGGATCCAAACCATATGGTCGGGATCTTTTCAGAGCCTGGACCAGCTGAAAATGGGTTACAGGAGTGCAGAACAAACTGCATTCCTGTGATCCCCAGGAGAAGTATAGCCAAAATAGCTTTACTTCTCATTTAACTAGTCACCCTGATGTAATCTAAATCTGAGTGGTTTCAGTACTTGTCTTTACACCTTTGCCCTTGATGTTTAGCTATAAAATTAACCCGTACATAAGCAATGGTAGTGAAGGTATTTGGCTTATGCAAAGTATTTTTGGTTATCACATCACAGACTTGCACTCAGTGAGCCGAATGATCATGGTTTATTCATGCCTGCTGCGTAGTGCTTGACCACTCATTAGAAGGAACAAAATCAGCAGGGAAGGCTCTCCAGGGTTAAGCAGCCTTGCATGAGCAGAACAGTTATGAGCTGCCAAGGATTTTACTGAGGTATTATACTGGTTACAGTGTCCATACAGCGTGAGATGAACACCATGAGCAGGACTGGAAATGGTGTACATTACACATGCACTGACAGTTTGGAAACAAAGAACCCTATTATTGAGGGCTTGTTTAGAAGATTTCTGTGATTTGAGAATAGTCTCCTGCTTTCATCTTCATTCAGGTGGCAAGACCTTCATGATAAGATAATGTACAAAGAAAGCATGTGCATAGTGATGAGCCATCTTTAATGAAAAGAGAGATTAGTGTGTGTATGTATATAGATATAAACATAACTAAACTGCTTCAAAAATGTTAAGGTTAAAACAGAGGTTATTAATGCATACATTAGCAAATACAGCGTGTCCAAAGGGTGGTGATAAATAGGGTATCTTAGGAATGGTCTGGAGTTGTGAGTGGGATGCCTCAGGACTCTGGTACCAATTCAGTTCAATATGTACATAAATGATGTAGAGGTTAGAATAAGAAGTTCAACCCCAGTATTTGCCAATGATACAAAGCTAAGCAGGTTGAAAAAGAAGACCATGATAACATAAAGAGGTGGGAAACTACATGGCAAATGAGGTTTAATGTTGGTAAATGTAAAGTATGCACTTGTTGGGGAGGGGGGACAAAAAATATGAATACAAGGTATTCCCTTGGGTGAGAACCTCTAAGAGACTCAAGGATGTGGGGGAAACAGTACATCACAGTCTCAGCAATAGCATGCAAGGCTAGCAGACTATTACCATTCATTAAGAAAGGGAATTCTGCCACCTTACAAAACTCTGGTTCTGCCACTTCTTGAGTTTGCCATCCAGTTCTATTCACCAGTCTAGAAGGAGGATTTTGTGGAACTGGAGATAGTCCAGAGAAGGGCAACAAAGCTAATAAGGGGACTGGAGGAACTCCATCATGAAGAACGACTACAAACATTAATCTTATTCTCCCTGGAGAAGAGACACTTAAGTAGGCGATATGTAAGCGATTTATAAATATCTAAATGGTGATGTTAGCATAAGGAGAAAACTATTCAGACTCAGGTCACTTAAGACACATGAAGAACTCAATGAAGAACTGAGTAAGGAGTTCATAACTGGTAAAACAGTAAGGATATGGAACTCCGTTCTACAATTAGTGGTGTCACTGGGGAGTGTTGATGATTTAAAAAAACTTTTAGATCGACATCTTAACAAATGTGATATACAGGAATATGGAAAACAGTAGAGACATAAATACACATACTGTACATCAATCCACAACCATGCAGTTTGAACTGAATGGACAGTATCTTTATTCAGTCTTACCAACTAAGTAAATATGTAAATAAATGTGAAGCCACACTTCTTCATCAAGGCAATGCTTTAACTCAAAAGAAGCCCTTGATTATGGTAAATATATATAATACATCAATTTGAAAACTGGCTTACCTGAAGGAATCCTTTTCCTCTTTAAAGGTATATCAGCACTTCAGTAGCCCAACATTACTGAAGGGGGACATAAAACCCTCCACAGTGTTTGTCTGCAAAATTAATTCAGTCCAACAAAGGAAGAATCCACATACTGTACATACAGTCATGGCCGAAATTGTTGGCACCCTTGATATTTTTCCTGAAAATCAAGTATTTCACAAAAAAGGTATTGCATTAACACATGTTTTGCTATACACATGTTTATTCCCTTTGTATGTATTGGAACAAATATAAAACAGAGGCAGAAAAGCAAATATGACATAATGTCACACAAAACCCCAAAAATGGGCTGGACAAAAGTATTGGCACCCTTAACTTAATATTTGGTTGCACACCCTTTGGAAAACATAACTGAAATCAGTCGCTTCCTATAACCATCAATAAGCTTCTGACACCTCTCACCCGGAATTTTGGACCACTCTTCCTTTGCAAACAGCTCCAGGTCTCTCTTATTGGAAGGACACCTTTTCCCAACAGCAATTTTAAGATCTCTCCACAGGTGTTCAATGGGATTTAGATCTGGGCTCATTGCTGGCCACTTCAGAACTCTCCAGCGCTTCTTTGCCATCCATTTCTGAGTGCTTTTTGACGTATGTTTGGGGTCATTGTCCTGCTGGAAGACCCAGGATCTTGGACGCAAACCCAGCTTTCTGACACTGGGCCCTACAGTGCGACCCAAAATCCTTTGGTAATCCTCAGATTTCATGATGCCTTGCACACAGTCAAGGCACCCAGTGCCAGAGGCAGCAAAACAACCCCAAAACATCATTGAACCTCCACCATATTTTACCGTAGGTACTGTGTTTTGTTCTTTGTAGGCCTCATTCCGTTTTCGGTAAACAGTAGAATGATGTGCTTT